CCCAGCTCCTCATCGGGTTTTGGGTCAGTTTGTCTTTATTCCCAGGCCCAGATCCAACACTGACTTCTTCAGCCTGATCCTGGTCTAAGGAACTGGGCAATGGAACAGAGCTTTCCAGAGGGCTTCGCGGACAAAGATTTGGATACTTGTGCAGAAAACAAGCAAGGGGGGACCAGAAATTAGTGTAACGGCTATGTCGCTGGACTCCCATGTAGTCAACCGTGGTTCAAATCCTAGACCTGGTGGCTTAAACTCACACCGGGTGCGTGTGTGTGCATGCCCAAGATCCCAAGAGGAGAATGGAGGAGAAGGGATTGCGATGTGGCCACACACACACAACCCAAAAAAGAAAAGAAAACAAGCAAGCAGTTCTTACATGCCAGATGCTGTCCAAGGGGGACAGCCCTTGCTCAGGTAGATTTGACTATGAGTTCATAGAGAGACGCTGCCAGCCCAGGAAGCAGAGTACCCTCAAGCCAGAAAGATGTCGTGTTCCTTCTTCAATAGGGCCCAGCTCTGTGTCCTCAGGAGAAGCACAAGAGAACCCAGAACCTGAGAAGGGATGGTCTAGCCTGCTGCTCAGAATACCATGGGATTGAGGTGGGATCAATTGACTGGGTAGAGATAGCACTCATGACAGATGTCCAAACACGAAGCCTGAACTGTTTGTTATTTCAGGAAATGGGTTTGTCCCTGGATGATAAACTTTAAATTCTGTTAGGGCCCAAAGTTAGCCAAATAAAGGTAAATCTAGAGGAAAACATTGTGAGTCTTTCTGTCCACCTTGGTCACCACCCAGAGACATTCTCAGACAAAGTGGTCGCTTGTGACCCCCTCTTTGGCTAAGGGATAGTTGCAGATGTGTCCTGACAGTCCTCGAACCAATTAGAAAGACCCAACCATCAGGCAACTTCCCTCCCGGAATGCAGTTCACTTGATAGGCCACTTCCTGCCAGGGCCCTTTGGTTTTCCCTACCTGTCAGGGCTCTTCAGAACTTCATCGAAGTCTGCACTGAGAGCCTTGCACCTCTGGGAGAGTGCAAGCAAGTCCCCGGAGAAAGGCTCCTTAGGGAAACGCCACCTGTTGGTTGACCCAACTATTTGGCGCTCCGGCCGAGCTTTGTGCTGCTTGGAAATCAAAGAAAGACATTTCTTTTTAGCCTTGCATAAATGTCAGCTTTCCCCAATTGTACAGCAGAAAGAAATCAAGACAAATTGTAAAATGGTGGTCAATTTTCAAATGTAGCCAGTATTTCTCGCGGGCATTGCCTTAAGGTCAATGTGTTCCCTTTCATAGACTGAAGGCTCAAGCTACAAAGGCAACTTGGAATTTAGGATCTAGAGCAGGAGGTGCCAGGGAAAAGGTGGTTTTTGCAGGTACTCCTGAAGAATCCACAAGAAGGGACAGTGTTAAGTTTCAAGTACTGTTCTGTAAGCGCTTTCTAACATGTGATTCAGAAAAATACTAAATTGAGGAAATCTTGACCAGGGACTTGTTTACGGTAGCAAAATATACGGAATGTAAAACTGACCATTTTACCCATTTTCTAGTGCAGGGTTTAGCGGTATCCAGTAATTTATGCTGTGATACTACCATCATCACTACCTAGTTCCAGGACATTTTCATACCTCCCCAAATAATCCCCGCATCCACTAAGCAGTCGTTCCCCAGGCTCTTCTCGCCATCCTGGCAAATACAAATCTACTTTTGACTCTGAGGATTTGCCTATTCTAGATATTGTACAGAAATGGAATTGCACAATATATGACCTCTCATGTATGGCTTCCTTCATTTAACCTAGAGCTTTTGTGGGTCATTCATATTTTATTCCTTGTTCTGGCTGAATGCTATTCCATTGTGTGGTTTTACCACATTTTGTTTACCCATTCAGCAGCTGACGGCCACTTGGGTCGTTTCTGCGTTTGGGCCGCTATGAATGGTGCTGCCGTGAATATCTGTGTGTGAGTTTTTGTTTGAACACTGGATTCCCAACTCTTATGGTTATGTGCTCAAAGAATTGCTGGGTCAATGGGCAGGGATTTTTACTGGAAAGTTTCCTTGAGGCCCCCAAGGAGATTTTGGCAACATCCTTAAGAGAGCAGGAAAATACTCAGCATGAATATAAACCTCAGACTGATGGCTCAAAGATACCTAGCAAGAAACAAAACACATGAGCGATCCTTTGAAAGAATGCAACTGCTCCTAAGCCACCCGGGCACCAACAGAGTGGAGGGGAGTGTCCTGGACTGAAGAATCCATGTTTGAATCTTGTTATTGCCACGTCCTGGTTGCATGGCCTTGGGCGAGTCATTTACTCTTTTGAGCCTCTTGGTGCTCATATGTAAGATGAGGATAACGGATGATGACTGGTGACTGATGGTGATGACACGGTAATGGTGAAGGCATGGTGGTGGTGGTGGCAGTGACCTTGCTTCTAGAGTTGTTCAAAAGAGAGACTAAAGTTGGGAAAAGACGCCTTGGTGCAGTGCCAACGTGATGGGCGGTGAAAACTGTGGGATCCGAATCGAGATGGAGCCCTGCTGTAGTGTGACGTCAGTGGCGGTCTCGGACAGTGGGGCTGCCCTGTTTTCTGGATGGCCCTGCCTGGATGTGATCTTTCCAGCAGACAGCCAATACAGCTGGAGTGCGTGGGAAGTTGGCCACAGGTCTACAACCGAGTGCTGTTTTTCCTCCCCATTACCTGAAGCTGATCGACTTACCGAATTCAACATTTTCATGAACGACAATGGAGATTTGCACGGTGGGAAAAAGATAAGCACCTAGAAGACAAAAGAGCTGAAGATGAAATTTTAGACAAATTTTTGAAGAATCTCTCCAACATATTATGGAGGAGTTTGACCTAAAGAATCTGTATTTTGCGTCAACCCCGTAGCCTCATAGTTAAGGAAACTGGATTTCACATTGTTCATCACAGCTTGAATCCTGGTCTCAGCAGCCTGAAATCCATGCTGGGCATGTGTGCATGTGTGCTGAGAATCCCGGTAGGATGAAGTGGAGGAGGAGGCATTGCACCATGACCACGCACTATGAGGGACTGCTTTCTACCTCGTGCTCTCTGTCTCTCTGTCTCTTTATGGTAAGTTTATATTCTCTCTGACAATCAAAAAAAAAGAGAGAATCTATATTTTGACACAAAAGTAATAATGAGTAAGTTTCAAATGTGAGTTATTTATCAAATCAGGAGAATATCTAGTCCATTTATTTCTTTGAGAGAGATTTTTTGCTCACCAAAAGAGACAGAAAGCAAGGAATCACCTGCCCCCCAGGGGGATGGCCACATCACCATCCCTTTTCCTCTATGCTCCTCTTAAAATCCTGGGCATGCACACACATGTGCCTGCTGTGAGATTTAAGCCACCGGGTCTGCCTGGTGTGAGATTTAAGCCACCGGGTCTGGGACTTGAACTGTAGTCAACTATGTGGGAGTCCAGCAATGTAACCATTACACTGTATGCTGGTCCCTTATTTATTTATTTATTTTAGAGAGATTTTTGTTATAGGGCTGAGCACTTGCCAAAGAGACAGAGACAGAAAGCGAGAAATCACCTCCCGGGGGGATGGCCACACTGCAATCCCTTCTCCTCCATTCTTCTCTCTGGATTTTGGGCACACATATGCATGCCTAGCATGAATTTCAAGCCTCCAGGTCCAGGACTCAAACATGTCAGCCATGTGGGAGTCAAGCAATGTAATTATTATGTCAACTACTGGTTCCAAGAATATCTACTTTTTAAAAAGCACATTAGTAGACTGAAAGCTGTCTGCTAGGGATCAGCAGATGGCATAATGGTTATGTCACTGGACTGCCACATGGCTGACTACGGATCAAGTCCTGGACCCAGTGGCTTAAACCTCATGCTGAGTGAGTGTGTGTGCATGCCCAGGATCCTGAGAGGAGAATGGAGGAGAAGGGATTGTGGCGTGGCTCTGTGGTGAGCGCATGCACCCTATAGTAAAAAAAAAAAAAAAGTTTGCTAATATGCTATAAACATTGCTTAGGAAAAGAAAAATAGGCAATAACCCATGATTCTTTACTCTTTGTCAAGATGATTGTGGGCTAAAGAATGGCTATAAGTGGGTTGATCATAGAATTTTATTATTCAGTCCAGGAGACTAAAAGGGGTGATAGTAATAATTAAGCCCCCAAAATGGGTTCAGACCAGGGTCACCCAGGAGCCCAAAAGACTTACAATCATTTTAGCTTAGAGGGCCATGAAAGAATGTGAATGGAAAGACTTTCCGGTTGTGTCTAAACATCATGAGAGCAGTTTGGTTGCAAGCAACAGAAACGGATCTGATCGATGGCGTGCCGTGGCCTAGTACCTGCTGCTAGCGCCAGAGGTCATCTCTGTCAGATGCTGCTTCTAGGAGGAATCAGCTGCCCCATGATTCAGCATGTGTGATTCTGCTGAATCCAAATTCTTTTTCTCTCTCTTTTTTTTTAGAATTCTTTATTTAATTTTATTCGTTATTATCATTTTTTAAAATTTTGACCAGAGAGAAAGAAAGGGAAAGTGAGAAAGCAAGTCACCAAGTCTGGGACTCGAACTATATGTGAGAGTCCAGCGCCTTAACCACTAAACCACCTGCCGGCCACTGAATCCAAATCCTTAACACGTGAGCCCAACGGGCCTGGCTTAGATCAGAGGCCCACCTTTTGATCTCAGGGAGGCAGACACTTTGATTCACAATCCCAACCAGACTGCCAGTGGGGAGGGCTGGGTGGTTCCCTAGAGCAACCCTGGGGAGGAAAAGGGGAAGCGGACAAGTAGGCAAAACCAGCGGAAGCCCCCTTGAGGGCCAAGAGCTTGGCTGACTCTGGGCTGTTGTCTGGACAGCACTGGGCCTGCGTTCTAGCTATGGCACTGGGAAGTGGATTGCTCACTCATTCAAGTATTTTCTGTGCAGCTGCCACATGCAGGGCCGTGTTAGTTCTTTCTGGATATGCGATTGAGCAAAACACCACGATCCCTGCATCATGAGATTCCCATTCCACCTGAGCAGATGGGCTTTTCTTTTCCTGTTAATTACCTTCACTACAAATTTTCAGCGACATAGCCATTATGCTAACTGCTGGTTCCTCACACGGCTCTTTACTTAAGCCCAGAGGAGAGAGGAATGCAATTTTGAAAGCAGAACTGATTGGCACAGAGTAAGCCACACCAGGCAGGAGTCTCCTTGCCTACAGGACACTGCCTCAGTGTGGGGGAGGGTGGGGCCTGCCCTGAGCTGAGCTACTCAAGCTCCGGCTTTCTTTGACTCAGTACCTAGGAGTCTTCTCAGCTGATCTTGAAATGCAGGGAATCTCAGTGCCTGGAGATACGGCTGTTCTTTTCTCATCCCACCAGGCAATATCCCCTTAGTGGGTTTTCGTTGTCTGTTTCTGAGTCCCTCTGAGCTGGCAGGAGCTACCCGCATGGTTTCTGGGCTCCCAGGGCCCTCCAACTTCCCCGCAGGGAATCCCCAAAGCCCCTCCCTGCCAGGCTGACCAGATGGAGCCAAGTCCAGGCAGTACCTGTTGCTAGGATGGTTTCCTTGGTTGTTCAAGTGGATGAAAAGTGCCCACCGTACTTACAGTCCTGCAGCCCTCTCGCCCGCCTCGAGTGTGTTTACAGGTGAAGCGCGTTCAATGGCGGGCCTTTCAAGGCACTGGTTTCTGAATTACAGGAGAGCTGGGGCTGGTCACCTTCTAAACTCAAATCCTGAAAGCTCTCATATCTGGGGCTCGCCCTTCTCTTCTGTGGGCCAAGGTGCTTTGGCAGGGGAGCTTGCCTTTGGTTTCCTGCTGGGTCGTTGTGGGCACCATGGCAACATCAGGGAAGGTTCCAAGCACTTCCTGTTCCCAGGCCTGGGTTCAGCACAGGCTAGGGCCTGAGGGCAGGTGCGGCAAGGCTCTTGGGGAGCACAGGCCTGTGAGCGAGAGCTCCACAGGGGCCGACCAAGGGGCCAGCATTTCCTCCTCAGCCTCCCTCCAATGGGAACGGTACCCTCTCTACTCTCAGCACCTGGGGCAATCTGGAAGCATCTCTCGAAGGGCCTTAGTGAGAACTGATGCCAGATCCTAAGGCGTTGTCTGTGAAATGAGAATATTAGGCTGGAAGATTCTCACATACACCCCAGTTCTGGTTGTATCCAGACTTTTTTTTTTTTTTTTGAGAGGTTTTTGCCATAGGGCACGTGTGCTCGCCAGACAGACAGAGGGAGACAGAAAGTGAAAAATCGCCTCCCCTCCCCCCCGGGGAGATGGCCACCCTGCTGCAATCCCTTCTTCTCTATTCTCCTCTTGGAATCTTGGGTACACATGCACACATGCCCGGCATGAGTTTAAGTCACTGGGTCCGGGACTCGAACCGTGGTCGACTACATGGGAGTTCAGCGACATAGCCATTATGCTAACTGCTGGTCCCCAGACTTTTTTTTTTTTTTTAAGCTGCATGTGCTCACCAGAGAGAGAGACAGAGAGAGGGAAAGTGAGAAATCGCCCCCCAGGGGGATGGCTGTGTCTCAGTCCCTTCCCCTCCATTCTCCTCCTAGGATTTTGGGCATGCATGCACATGTGCCCAGCGTGTGTTTCAAGCTGTTAGGCTTGGGACTCAAATTATGGTTGGCCATGTGAGAGTCCAGCACCTTAACCACCACCCAACCTGCTAGTCCCCTCACACATGTTTTAACAAAAATATTTTAATAAAAACTGAGAGCCAGCTCTGTGGCACAGTGGTGGTATGCTTGCTCATGACAGTGGCTGGATCCTGCACATCAAGGGTTTCAAGTCCCTGGCCTGGCCAGCCTGAGACATACTGGGCTCACAGGGGAGTGCCCAGGACCCTACGAGCTGGAGGCCTTGGAGAAAGGGGGTTGCGGTGTGGCCAGACCTTGTGGAGGGTGCTTATTCTTCTCTCTCACTCTCACATGTGTGCATGTGCTCTATTGTGGCTAAAGAAAAATAAAATAAAAATTGAGTGTTTTACTTTATTAGAAGTCATGCTCAATGAGTTATTTTGTTGACAGATGATTTTTTAAAATCATGGTCATTTATTTATTCATTTATTTATTTTTAATTTGATCAGAGAGGGACAGAGAGAGAGAGAGAGTGAGAAAGTAAGCTGCCAGGTCCAGGACTCGAACCGCAGTCAGCCACATGGGAGTCCAGCGCCCTTTACCACCATGCCATTCGCAAGCCTGACAGATTATTTTTAATTTGCTTTCTCTGGGAACTAAGAATTGCCAGAGCAGGATCTTGCATTTCCCTCTTTGACTTGGTCTGCGAAGGCCATGCCTTGACTAGGTCATGCCCACTGACAGCCTGGGCCGTTGTCCAGGGCTCACAGAAATCCCTACTTCCAGTAATAGGAACCTGAAGTCAATGCGGGCCGTGGACTCTCACACTTGAAAAATAAAGTATTGTTACTAGATTATTTTTCCTTTTACAAATGCAACACATTTGCGGGTACAAGTTGAGATGCAAAAGATTTTGACAATAGGGCTGGCAGGTGGCATTGAGGTTGAGGAACTGGACTCCTACATGATTGACCATGGTTCGGATCCTGGACCTGGTGACTTGCTTTTTCACTTTCCCTCTCTCTCTGGTCAAGTTGAAAAATGATAATAAATAAAATAAAATAAATAATTCTTAAAATTTTTTGGACAGTTACAATAATTTGAATTGTAGAGGTAGATTTTTTGAAATACTGAAAACATTTAACAGTTTATTATAATTTATTTTATTTAACAATCTGGGAAGTTCGCAGCCATCAGCAGTCCCAGTGCAATTCCAGGTGCAAGTGGAATTCAGGCATCTCGGTGGCGCTGTTAGTGTAGCGAACCTTGTAGGTAAAATACACGCACACTTTTGATAGCACATGTGACGGAATCTCTCTAAAATGGACCTCATTGGTTTCATTCTCAGCAGACTGACCTGGGCCACTCAATATGGCTCTTATTGTTGCTGAAGGTTGTGCATCTTCTCGTTTTACAATACATTCGTGACCATCAGAAGATAACATTTTGACATACATGGCATCAGGGCCTTCACTGCCACCGTCAGTTTTCTCCCCTCCATCCACTCTGTTCTTAGGAACTTCTACTTTGCTTCCACAGGAACTTTAGTAGTTTTTCATCAGCCCTGTAGCCACCAAAGAGGAGTCCCCGTGTATAGCCACAGGCCCTCTCGTGGAGGTGGATTTAACCATCATTAATAGTGTATATATATATATGTATATATGTGTATATATATATATGTATATATGTGTATATATATATATATAAATGTGTGTACATACAGTGCATGTACAACTACTACTTTTTAACCTGATTTGATCATTTACTATGTCACAGAAATTTTTTCCTACATTCTTGTACATGGTTCTTTTTTTTTTAAAAAAAAAGAGTTTTTTGCCTTAGGGTGCTGGAGAAAGAGACAGAGACCATGAGAAAGAAAGTGAGAAACCACCCCACCGGGGGGATGGACATGCCACAGTCCCTTCTCCTTCATTCTCCTTCCAGGATCTTGGGCACACACCCACATGTGCCCAGCGTGATTTTCAAGCCACTGGGTCTAGGACTTGAACTGCATTTGGCCATGCGGGAGTTCAGCGACATAACCGCTATGCCATCTGCTGGCCCCACGTACACGATTCCTAAAGATGACCCTGCTTCTCGGTATGGAGGCAGACAGTGGTGACTGTAACAAGCAGCTCTGGCTGGGCATCTGGCAGCTCGAAGCGCAGGCTCAATGACCAGCTGTTCTCCTGTCCGGAAAAGGACAGGAAGTTCATGCAGACACCCACACACAGGTGCACACACACACCCACCTCTACCTTTCCTCTTCTCAGATCATCATGTTGCTTTTGAGCCTCTCTTGCTCCTTGAGTCTGCTGCTTCCCTCCTAGCCCAGGGCTGAGAATGTGGTGTGCATACGTGTGTTGTTGGGGTGTGAGAGGGGAGTTAGAGAGGAGGTCTCAGCAGAAGTCTGCCCCAATTTGCCTCTCTGCATCGTTCTCTCCCTTCCGGCTCAAACTCTTCCCAGCAAAGTTCCCTAGAATGCAGGAACCCATCTAATATTTAAAATTAGAAATCTGAGATACATTTCCCTGCACCACCTTGACATCTCACCCACTCAGTGAGTCAACTCGGGGATGCTCTCCATGTACCAAGCCTGTGGTGCAGCTGAGAGCGACCCCTTGGGCTCCCTCCAGTGACCACTTTGGGGAAGTACCCCAGGGAACCACAATCCCCTCAGTCCCTGAGCAGAACTCCTGGCCTTGGCTGGGTCCATTATTCTTTGCAGTCTGAGCACAGCGGTTTTAAGTGTCCTGCCCTGCCCCCTTCTCTCTCTCTCTATTTCACACACACACACACACACACACACACACACACACACAGTGCTCAGTACATACATCTCCCATGGAGCTCTTGAAAGATAAGCGGTTAGCAAAAGTATTTTCATTTGTCTTTCTTTTCTTCGAAAGGACAAATAAATGAAGACAGTCCTCACTACCTTTCCCTGAAAGGTTTCCTAGGGGACCAGCCGTTAGCGTAATGGCTATGTCACTGGACTCTCACGTAGTAGACGATGGTTTGCGTCCCAGACCCGGTGGTTTAAACTCACGCCAGGTGTGTGTGTGTGCGCGTGCCCAAGATCCCAAGAGGAGAATGGAGGAGAAGGGATTGCGGCGTGGCCATCCCCCCTGGGGGCTGATTTCTCTCTTTCTGTCTCTCTGTCTGTCTCTGTCTGTTTGGTGAGCACACGCGCCCTATAGCAAAAACCTCTAAAAAAAGCTTTCCTAGTAGTACCCAGTATGCTGGGGATGTGAAATAACTCAGCCCCCTGGCACCAGCTAGAAAACCCTGACAAGCCAGAAATCCCCAGAGCAAAGACCTTCAGTGACTCAGACACCAAACCTCACTGAGCACAGCCCTGCGCTAAAAGTACCTTGCACTAAAATCTCCTGCCTCGCAGTTACGGGGGGATTATGGTGGGATGTCCACCTTCTTCTTAAATGCTCCAGGGATGGGCACTCACTCCCTTCCCTGAGTTCATTTCAGCCTGCTCCATTCGGTCACCCAAATAGTGGGGTACTCTGTAAAGAACATCCAGTTTTGATCCTGGTTCTGGACTGAATAGCTCTGGGACCCCAGTACATCCTTAACCTCCCTTGGTGGAAAGTGAAGCCAAGAGCCCTGAGGCCTGGCAGTTTGGAGCACCTGTGCCTCGGAGTCTGAGTGCTGGCTCTGAAGACTCTGGTTCTCAAAGGATCAGAGACCAGTAGACCGTGCACAGCGAGAGGACCCCAGTGGATGCTCAGATCAGGATGGAGACTGGCTGTCTCCCACAGTGTGGGAGCTCTCTGTGCACCCTGGGTGCAGGCCTCCAATCTGAGCCTCTGGATGAGGCAGAAGATGGGCAGGGGCTTCTGTGAAGGAAAAGCAAAGGGCAAAGCAGGCCGTCGGAGTGCTAGAGTGGCCAGACACTGGCCATGAACTTGCTGTGGAACCTCGGGGAAGTCCGCTCTGGCTCTGGGTTCAATTTTCTCATCTGCAAGATCAGCGTTAGACAAAACAGCTCTGTTGGTCCTCTTCTTCCAAGATACCTGGAGGCTTGGTGATGACAACTGCTCTGACTCAGGACTCGCTTCATCTAAACTAGGTTTGAGCTTCTAAATAGTGCCAGGATTGGGGATAATATGGGAGCGAAGCACAAAGTGAAGGATGAGTTACCGCTTTTGCAATTTCATATCCTCCTATCACCTATCCTGTTTTTTCTTTTTTTTTAAAGAGAGATTTTTGCTATAGGACACGTGT